GATTTTAACAACTCTGAGCTATTAGTTAAGTTCTCCCCAAGCGAGCTCGATGGGCCGAATGGCCTCCTCTCGTTTGTATAGTTCTTATGTCCTTATGACAGGTTAGTGAGGTCTTGCAGAAGTCAGATGGGCCCGGGGATAACATTGTTTGTCGAACTTCCTGGATCAAACTGGGACGTATGTGAGGTGTATTGTGGGAAATAATCGCTCTATTGGAAACCAAAGGCCTCTTGTGATCAAAAACACATGATCTCATTCCAACCAAAATATACAAACAGGCAAGCAAATTACAGAAACCTCAAACGAGGCTCAGAGCCAAAGGGTGGAGCAAAATGAAGTGAGGAAGAGCAGAAGGGGGAAGCCCTGCAGAGGAGCGGGAGAGGGAAGAGGGGCTCCAGGGACACGGCTGAGCAGAAGGGCATCAGCAGCCCTGGGCCCTAGGAACACCTGCCTTTTTCAGGGCAAGATTGTCCGCCAAGACTGAATTACATCCAGCATGTTGTAAAGAGCATGAATACAACTCGCACATTCCAAGAGTTCACAAAACTGCATTTAACAACTCGACACGGGACTGTACCAGCCGTGCAAATACTAGGCAAACGCTAGGAGCCTGAGGCGACATCTGTTTATGTGAGGGGAGATTCTGTCGCCGCCTGCTGTTCTATTCCTAATAGTGCCTCGGTTTTATTCAACTATTTTTTGCATCCAGTCTAAATAATCACACTGCCAGCAAAGTTTTCCACATTTTCTCCACATGTCTCACTGCCAGAGTAAGGCAACATCTTGCAAACTGCCACAAATTTACACGAGTAGCAAAACACCACCTCACCAACGAGGAGCAAGTACTTACAGCTCTCCCTGAACTCGATGCCCGCCGGCAGTGTCAGCTCAGGGCTGGGGCTGTCCGGGGCCCTGCGGGGGGATAGACACCAGTCAGCCCAGCTAGGCAGCTTCGTGCGGCACCTGCCGCCATCCAGGGCTGGCCACCTCCCCGGTCGCAGCCCGCGGGACGCCATCCAGAGGCTCCAAGCCCACCCACGGCCTCCCAGGCGCCACATCGAGCACACGGACAGCGGAGAGCGCACGGGCGGGCCGGCGGGCCCTCGTCTCCGCATGCACGCTGCATTATTGATGCGCTGTAGCCGTCACGCGCCGGTAACTGGAGGTGTGGGCTGGCTCTGGTTTCCCCACAAGCTCGCTCAGGTGTCACTGGGCTGCTGAGAGCCTCTGAGCCCAAGGCGGATGTGGGAGGACACAGTGGTGTGCAGGCTGGTGACCCAAAACCCCAGATTCCACAGGCTGGGAGGGCAGGGCTTAGAAGGGGGCAACAACCCACACCTGAGCCGCCAATGGTGCTTTTCCACTGGCATACAGGAACCAGCCCGTACCAGAGCCAGACCGCAGAGAGAGACTATTTACAGCGTGGTTCCAGCTTGCTACGGTCTTCCACTAGAGAAGGGTCGGCTCAGTAAAGGTGTTACAGAGTTTGGAGAGTGATCGTGACGTAAAACTGTACAGATGCTTATCTACCATTCGCACAGTGTACATCATGATCTACTATGTGCTAAATTCTGCTAGAATGTCTGTGAGAATCATCATCTTATGTTAGCATCAAGCGCTAGCAGAATTAGCATTCACCTGCGCAAATTTGCATTATGAATCCATCCTTTCAGCTGTTCTACTGTACTTTTTTTTTTTTTAGGAGGTTGGAAATTTTCAGTTATCGACCATCAATACATCATGAAGTGCAATACTACTAACAATGAATAATATATATACAATATGGTCATGCTTTATCAGCACAGGTGCAGGTTGGGTACGGCTCACATACTTTACAATGGAAAACTGCCAGTTCATGAGCATGTGCAGAGCTTCTACGCAACTTTTTTTTCTACGTCCGATTGAACGTTTACATGCAGGAGTAAATCGACTCCCAAGCGCATTATCTGGGTGTGTCAGTGACGATTTCAGCCGGACTGACGAGGGGAGGGCAGAGACAGACCTGGCATCAGGCTGCTCCCCCCGCACCATGGGCTTCACCATCCCTCGCTCGCTGGCCGGGACAGAGCGCTCCATCTCCAGCTTCCCTGAGCTCTGTTAACACATGCAAGCAGAACACGCTACAACAGCTGCTCATGAGCGACTGCCATGCCACCACGCTGTCATAATTCGATTGGATGCTTTGGTCACAGGAGCTACCAGGACAGAGACAACGGAGGGTGGGAGCAAGGAGTTGATCTGGGGCTCCCATTTGCGGATAGAGCATCAGATAATGGGGGGGGCATTGTCAACAACGAGGCAGCATGGCCTTACCTTGCTCATTGGGAGGGCCATGCTGGCATGGAGGTCCCCACGAGGGTCAAACGTTGTATCGGGAATGCTCCTGAAGACAGGGGCGGGAAGAGGGTGAGGAGAATCCACAAGACATACTGCAGGGGCTGGATTAAAGCCCTTCCCAAATGCTGTAAAAGTAAGTGTAAGACCACTATGCAGTCAAAACCACAGAGGCAGGTACACACGCACAAACAAAGAGAAAAGCTAGCGCAAAAAAAAAAGAGACAAAAACAGACAGACATTTTGGAAATCCTTAAATGCTGCCAGCAAGAGCATCCACACCGGACAGGCCCTTTAATTTAAGCGAGCAGAGCGAATGATCCGTGACAAAGGAGAGAACGGGGATGGGTCTCCCCCAGCAGGTCTCTGATGACCCCGCTAAACGTCACCGCTCACTTCTTCCCATTCAGACAAATAAATGACTCCTGTCCTCCCTGTCAACTCCAATACTGTGGCGGGGGGGGGGGGGGTGGTTGCAGAAAGTGCCTCACTATCCCCTGTGCGGTTCTTCTGGGAGCACCCTCACCCTCACAGGCACATTGTGGTTCTCAGAATAAGTACGAAAGGTTACGATTTAGAAGATGAACCCAGATTGGACGTTTTAAGCGATTAACTAGCTGCCCTCTAAAAACTGTAGCTTATGGCAGGACACAGTTTCTGCTGCCTTTCGCTCATGAGAAAATCCCAGACAGTCCCCACAAAGGCCACGGGCGCTAACCCAGACACAGAACTCCCTCCCTGATCGACTAGAAAAACGATCGAAGTGCACAAAGTGCTGTTTGACATTCCCTCATAAATACGACGCCGTGTTCCAGTCCTGGGAACCCAATCCTTGACCCTGCCAGCGCCTGTGACCCACCTTCCCCAGATTACTTCAACTAGACCAGTGATGAAAAATGGTACGATTCAGGTCCCAGTGGCACGCGATGCTCGGGAAGTGCTGCAGAACAGCACCACAGATGTTCCCAAGCTTTTATCCCTGGAAGTATTCTGTCAAAGGGATTTCACAGTGCTGTGGCATATACCGAGTGGGCATTGTACTGGGTTCACCTGCTAGCTGACAGACAGCCTGCTCCTTCAAACACACAAATCACACGGCTGGAACCATATACAAAGCGCATGGGGAGAGTGTGGGAAGATAAAGTTATCGTTTGGCCAATCATCAGAACATCTAAGTCAACTGATCTAAGAGACTTGGAACATGGTGTGATTGTTGGTGCCATACACGTCCAGCATCTCTATCCTCCTGTGATTTTCACATGGTGGAATGGTGAAATTTTAAAGAGAATGACGTGATGAACAAGGTTAAAAAAAAAAAAAAAAAAAAAAAAAAAACATTTATTCAGCGACAGCTAATAGACTCAAAGCTGACAATGCAGTGTGTGGCTTTACAGGTAAAGACTCGGAAGGTCAACGGTTCAGATCGCGTGGCCGGCAGAGTGATGTCACTACGGGGCCCTTGAGCAAAGCCCTTAACCTCAAAGGCTCCAGGGATACCAGCTGACCCTTGCTCTCTGATCCTGACCTGCATGTCACTTTGGTCAAAAGCATCTGCTAAAATAAAACATAATGTAAACACAAGTGTAAAAATAACAGCTCAGCACAACAGCAGTGTGCAGAATGTCTTTTCTGAATGCACAGCTCGTCTACCCTTGAAACAGTACTGGAGTACTAGCTAGGCGTACCTAATTAAATGACCACTGGCTCTGTAGAGCTACACTGTCCTACAACATCTCTGTGTGCAAAAGCATAACTTATTCTCATACTAGTAAGTGCTGCGTGCAGTACTCTGCGGTACTCGGGGGTGTCGGAGGGGCATGGGTACCACGGCAGATTCAGCGGGCCCAGGACATTAGATGGGCCCATGGCTCAAATGTCGGGGCCCGGTCAGCTAAAGCTACCAAGCCCCCACCCTCATGATGCGCACGCATATGATCACACTAACACATGCACTGACATGGCACTGTGGATGCTGGGGAGTTTGAAGCGAGATTCACATTCAGGGTTTAAAATGGGTTCAGGATCATTATTAAAGTGAACACTGCCAGGACTATCGCAGTGATCCGCGGCATCGCTATATCCTGTCCACCCATCAATTCCCACTGACCTTTTTCGTTAAGGATAACTGCACCAGCCCTCCATAGTGTCGGGGTCGCCCCTTTCAGACTCTATGAGAGAACCGCACTAAGCTCCCCCATTCATCTGCTCCACCGAAAACATCCCCAGAGCTGCCCTAGAGTCACTTCGCTTTATCTGTGGCCTCCGTATTTGGCCAACGACGCGTACGAGTGGCCAAGAGCAGAGCAGTGTCTTAAGCACCACAGATGGGACGATATGACCGTTCAAGTCTGATGCATCTGTCTGCATTTAAAGGGCAGCTTAAATCCATACCATCCAGGCGGAGCAGGAGGTGCGACGGCCGACGCCACTCAGAAAAAGCGTTTTGGTCTATCGTGACACGTTCAGTGACACTGTTAAAGCTGAAGTGAAAGACGAGCTTGAGACTCGCGAATCCGTGCCAACGACCAAAGTGAGCCAATTACCAGCTTGCACTCAAAGCACAAGATAAAAGCAAACAAAATATACACAAAAAAAAAAACAACCAAAATGTCACACTGACAATAATTTCTCACTTTCCAGCGTTATTTCAGAGTCTGCCCATTTATAAGGTTAATACGGTAATGCTAGGTTGAGTGAGTGCCCCCCCTGCCCCACCTACCCTGACATGTGCCTGCCCTTGACCATGGAGGCAGGGTCCACACCACGCTTGCCCATGCTATGGTCATAGCTGGGGTCCACAAACTTGAAGACGTGCGAGGCACCGAACTGCAGCGTGGAGCCACTGCGCAGTACCGTTGTCTCGGAGATGCGCTGGCTATCCACGAAGGTCTCTGCGTCAAAGCTGCATGGTGCCACCATGACGAGCCCCTCGCTCAGCATCAGGTCACAGTGGTGAGGCAGGATGCCAGGGCCAAAGAGCTGCACCAATCAGGAAGGGCCAAGTTGAGGAAGTCCCACCCAGCAGCCAATGAATGGCTATGTATTCAGGGTCAGGGTGACCACATCTTTGATCCTCAAGGCTTGTTTCCTCACCTGAATGGAACCATCATCCATCTTCTCAGTGCCCACTTCAGTGATGCTTTGCTGAAGCCGGTACAGCTTTGGTTTGTCCCTGGAGTCCGAACCGTCTGAGAACCATCACAACACAGTGGTGTTAATTCCCGACTGAGCGCAACAGGAGACGGGGTCAGCAATGCCATAGGAAACAGGGGAATAAACATTTAAACAAACGCCTGACGACTAGCAAGTATATGCAGGGTGTTTTCTTGTTAAAAAGATACCAAGAAAAAAAGGAGATAAAACAGACCAAAACGTAACTGCAAATATTAGTCTTAAAGATTAACCAAAAACCAAGCAGCGGAAAGGGTGGGAAAAAACTGACATAAGCAGCAGGTTTAATGAATGAGTTCTGTCTAGACACTAAGCTTGCTCCACTTGCATTGTAAAGGGTTATGTTGCGTGACAGAGCGAAGTGTGTCATTAGCTGATCAGCACAGGCAGGCTTAGCAGGAACCAGGAAATGCAAAGCGCGAATCAGTACACAAGGATAAAAAGTATGTTGCGGGTGTTATAACATTTCAGCCGTGGGGGACCCAGGAACATTTTCTTCCTTAGGATTAAAATGGGTTTTGAGAGTATAAAACATATTGCCCAGAACACAAATCTTACCATCTGTATGGTATATTGTTGAGAAACACCAAATATGCCCAGTACACTAGTACAGGGGCTCCGGATAAAGTAAAGTAATGCCGCTTACAGCAAATTACAAGGAGGCCAAATGCAGGAAGTGTGCTCAGGCGTCACCCTACAAGGCCGCTAGCTGTCAGCCATCTTGAGTAATGCAGGGATTGCCGTGTCATCAGTCTTGGTCGTGGTTTAAGCCAATCAGATCAAGTTAATCCAGTCAGACTGACACAGAGCGGGAATCCCTCCCGCCACAGCATTTGTACTGCGGTAACTCTAGCCTGGGTCTGTAGGTGGCGCTCTGGAGGACGTGGGCCGAATGCGGGAAGGGGTGCAGAGCGGCGCCATTACCTTCGTGGTGCCGATAGGCGTAGTGGCCATAGTGGCTGCCCCGCCCTGGGGAGCGGACATGCAGAGGAGCCGGGGGGAAGGGGGGGGAGACGCACACGCCCCGGGCCGTGCCAACGCGGGGCAGGGCCGGAGAGAGAAGACAGCACAGGGTGAAAATGCTGCAGGAGAGCGTGCCACACGCTGGCCGACCTCCACTCCACACACACACACGCGGGCGCGCATGCACACAGACACACGCATCGCTTCAGGAGTCTCTCACCCGTCTCTCAGCCTTCCTTAATCTGATCTTTGGCATGTGACTGAAACACTAGAGCAGAGAATTTGTGATGAGGCCCAGGACATGCTCTGCATCCTCCTCTTACCACCACCGGGCCGCGGCCTTAAAAGTGATCCTCCTCCGCTTCATTACACAGCAAGGTCCCACCATAACACCGACGACGGCGGAGACTATGCACAGGACCTGCCATGTTCTTCCCGTTAGACTGGGCAATGCAGTTTTCTCCTGCTTCACTAACAGCAGTGCTGTCCATATAAAGAGAAGAGGCGCCGCTTCACTCATCCAGCCTCTTGGTGGCGTGAGTCTCACTCCTGGCCGTCTGTTACGCAGCCTCCCCCAAGTGAAGGGCTTGGTGTACATCACCACATGCCTCAAGAACTGTGCACCTTTTTAAAATCAAGAGCAAATCCTGGGATTGGGGGCAAATAAGATGCAGCTAACTCATCTCTGAGTCATCTGAGGACACAGAAGTCCTTTGGTAACTATTTATAGGGGGTGGGTTTAAGGGACAGGACATGCGGCCGTGTGGCCCAGGAGGGGTCCGGACACTCGGAATTCGCCGCTCCAGCAAAGCATCCAGCCGAGCGAATGAGCAGAAGCACGACAGCTATGAACGAGGGTGACTCACGGCGACTGGCAGCCAGACAACTGGCTGCTTCGCTGGAGCGATGCAAGGTAGCGCTGCGCTACCGCCGGACACAGCGCATCCCTGGGCCACCGGGCTTGTCAGGGCAGGCCGGCTGAGAGAGAGGTGAAGACGCAGACCCGAGAGGATGTTAGTGCGGCGATGCTTGGGGGGGGGGGGTTCAATCAGGCAGGGAGAAACAGAGGCGG